ACGTTTAATTATTTCAAACATTAGTAACGATTGAAAGAATTATATACAGATAAGCAATGAAAATTAATGTATTTTCTCTATCAGCCGCAATAGGACACTTCTTTGAACAGATATGACTAAGCATATTTATTAAAACCTTAAAAAGTAGGTAATTTTAGAAAGTACAAAAATAGAATCTACTTAACTTACCGATTTGAATGTAAAAAACAATTTATCCAACGTTCTCCGTCAACATATTGTGAAATTTAAAAAGATAACGAGGTTTTGACAAAAACAACAAAATCATCCAATCGACACACGAGATTTTGTCACGTGACAATTTTCGCCTTTTCCATTGGTGTAGAGCTACACTATTTTGGGAGACGGTGCGCTGGTATGTTTAAATTTTCGCGGCATCAAAAACCCATTTTGCTAAAAAACCGAGTTACGATATTTTGACCCCCCACCGACGATATAATATATGTATGTTCGTGAAGTTGGCAGCCTAGCAGCCTAGCAGCCTGAAGTTGGCAGCCTAGCAGCCTAGCAGCCTAGCAGCCTGGCAGCCTAGCAGCCTAAAGAAAACTAAGAATAGTACATACATGAAAACCGTCTGAAATACATTAGTAGCACTTCTTTAGATCATTCCACGCCTTTTTGAATATCGTGATCTTATTTTATTACATGTTAAACTTTATTTATTTTTTTATTCTGACGCTTCGAAATTTGAAGTTAGCAGCCTAGCAGCCTAGCAGCCTGGCAGCCTAGCAGCCTAGCAGCCTGGCAGCCTGGCAGCCTAACAGCCTAAAGAAAACTACGGATAATACAAATATGAAAACCGACGGAAATGAGTCGGTAGCACATACTTAGACTATTCCACGTCTTTTTTCAGTATCTCCAACTTAATTTTTTTAAATATTGAACTTTGCTTTTTTTTTTTTTTTTCCTCTTCGAAATTTGAGCAGCCTAGCAGCCTAGGCTGCCTGGCAGCCTAAATAAAACTAAGAATAGTACAAACATGAAAACCGTCGGAAATACATTAGCAGCACTTCTTTAGATCATTCCACGCCTTTTTCAATATCGTGATCTTTATTTTTTAAGATGTTGAACTTTATCGTAACATATTTTTTTCATTCTGACGCTTCGAAATTTGAAGTTAGCAGCCTAGCAGCCTGGCAGCCTAGCAGCCTAGCAGCCTAGCAGCCTGGCAGCCTAACAGCCTAAAGAAAAAGTACGGATAATTCAAACATGAAAACCGACGGAAATGAGTCGGTAGCACATACTTAGACTATTCCACGTCTTTTTTTCAGTATCGCCAACTTATCTTTTTTAAATATTGAAACTTTGCTTTTTTTCTTTACTCTTCGAAATTTGTGAAGCTATCAGCCTAACAACCTGGCAGCCTAGCAGCCTGGCAGCCTAGCAGCCTGGCAGCCTAGCAGCCTAGCAGCCTAGCAGCCTGGCAGCCTGGCAGCCTAAAGAAAACTACGGATAATACAAACATGAAAACCGACGGAAATGAGTCGGTAGCACATACTTAGACTATTCCACGTCTTTTTTCAGTATCGCCAACTTAATTTTTTTAAATATTGAACTTTGCTTTTTTTTTATTTTACTCTTCAAAATTTGAGCAGCCTAGCAGCCTAGCAGCCTGGCAGCCTAAATAAAACTAAGAATAGTACAAACATGAAAACCGTCGGAAATACATTAGCAGCACTTCTTTAGATCATTCCACGCCTTTTCAATATCGTGATCTTTATTTTTTAAGATGTTGAACTTTATCGTAACATATTTTTTTCATTCTGACGCTTCGAAATTTGAAGTTAGCAGCCTAGCAGCCTGACAGCCTAGCAGCCTAGCAGCCTGGCAGCCTAACAGCCTAAAGAAAAGTACGGATAATTCAAACATGAAAACCGACGGAAATGAGTCGGTAGCACATACTTAGACTATTCCACGTCTTTTTTCAGTATCGCCAACTTATCTTTTTTAAATATTGAACTTTGCTTTTTTTCTTTACTCTTCGAAATTTGTGAAGCTATCAGCCTAACAACCTGGCAGCCTAGCAGCCTGGCAGCCTAGCAGCCTGGCAGCCTAGCAGCCTAGCAGCCTGGCAGCCTGGCAGCCTAAAGAAAACTACGGATAATACAAACATGAAAACCGACGGAAATGAGTCGGTAGCACATACTTAAACTATTCCACGTCTTTTTTCAGTATCGCCAACTTAATTTTTTAAATATTGAACTTTGCTTATTTTTTATTTACTCTTCGAAATTTGAGCAGCCTAGCAGCCTAGCAGCCTGGCAGCCTAAATAAAACTAAGAATAGTACATACATGAAAACCGTCTGAAATACATTAGTAGCACTTCTTTAGATCATTCCACGCCTTTTTCAATATCGTGATCTTTATTTTTTAAGATGTTGAACTTTATCGTAACATATTTTTTTCATTCTGACGCTTCGAAATTTGAAGTTATTGAAAAAGGCGTGGAATGATCTAAAGAAGTGCTGCTAATGTATTTCCGACGGTTTTCATGTTTGTACTATTCTTAGTTTTATTTAGGCTGCCAGGCTGCTAGGCTGCTAGGCTGCTCAAATTTCGAAGAGTAAAAAAAAAAAAAAGCAAAGTTCAATATTTAAAAAAATTAAGTTGGCGATACTGAAAAAAGACGTGGAATAGTCTAAGTATGTGCTACCGACTCATTTCCGTCGGTTTTCATGTTTGTATTATCCGTAGTTTTCTTTAGGCTGCCAGGCTGCCAGGCTGCTAGGCTGCCAGGCTGCTAGGCTGCTAGGCTGCCAGGCTGCTAGGCTGTCAGGTTGTTAGGCTGATAGCTTCACAAATTTCGAAAGAGTAAAGAAAAAAAAGCAAAGTTCAATATTTAGAAAAGATAAGTTGGCGATACTGAAAAAAGACGTGGAATAGTCTAAGTATGTGCTACCGACTCATTTCCGTCGGTTTTCATGTTTGAATTATCCTTACTTTTCTTTAGGCTGTTAGGCTGCCTGGCTGCTAGGCTGCTAGGCTGCTAGGCTGCCAGGCTGCTAGGCTGCTAGGCTGCTAACTTCAAATTTCGAAGCGCAGAATGAAAAAATATGTTACGATAAAGTTCAACATCTTAAAAAATAAAGATCACGATATTGAAAAAGGCGTGGAATGATCTAAAGAAGTGCTGCTAATGTATTTCCGACGGTTTTTCATGTTTGTACTATTTGTTAGTTTTATTTAGGCTGCCAGGCAGCCTAGGCTGTTAGGCTGCTCAAATTTCGAAGAGGAAAAAAAAAAAAAAAGCAAAGTTCAATATTTTAAAAAAAATTAAGTTGGAGATACTGAAAAAAGACGTGGAATAGTCTAAGTATGTGCTACCCGACTCATTTCCGTCGGTTTTCATGTTTGTATTATCCGTAGTTTTCTTTAGGCTGCCAGGCTGCTAGGCTGCTAGGCTGCCAGGCTGCTAGGCTGCTAGGCTGCCAGGCTGCTAGCTGCCAGGTTGTTAGGCTGATAGCTTCACAAATTTCGAAGAGTAAAGAAAAAAAGCAAAGTTCAATATTTAAAAAAGATAAGTTGGCGATACTGAAAAAAGACGTGGAATAGTCTAAGTATGTGCTACCGACTCATTTCCGTCGGTTTTCATGTTTGAATTATCTTTACTTTTCTTTAGGCTGTTAGGCTGCCTGGCTGCTAGGCTGTTAGGCTGCTAGGCTGCCAGGCTGCTAGGCTGCTAACTTCAAATTTCGAAGCGTCAGAATGAAAAAAATATGTTACGATAAAGTTCAACATCTTAAAAAATAAAGATCACGATATTGAAAAAGGCGTGGAATGATCTAAAGAAGTGCTGCTAATGTATTTCCGATGGTTTTCATGTTTGTACTATTCTTAGTTTTATTTAGGCTGCCAGGCAGCCTAGGCTGCTAGGCTGCTCAAATTTCGAAGAGGAAAAAAAAAAAAAGCAAAGTTCAATATTTAAAAAAATCAAGTTGGCGATACTGAACAAAGACGTGGAATAGTCTAAGTATGTGCTACCGACTCATTTCCGTCGGTTTTCATATTTGTATTATCCGTAGTTTTCTTTAGGCTGTTAGGCTGCCAGGCTGCTAGACTGCCAGGCTGCTAGGCTGCTAGGCTGCTAACTTCAAATTTCGAAGCGTCAGAATGAAAAAAATATGTAACGATAAAGTTCAACATCTTAAAAAATAAAGATCACGATATTGAAAAAGGCGTGGAATGATCTAAAGAAGTGCTACTAATGTATTTCAGACGGTTTTCATGTATGTACTATTCTTAGTTTTCTTTAGGCTGCTAGGCTGCTAGGCTGCTAGGCTGCCAGGCTGCTAGGCTGCTAGGCTGCCAACTTCAGGCTGCTAGGCTGCTAGGCTGCCAACTTCACGAACATAATATATGTACATTTATATACATTGTTTGAAATGAAAAAAAAAAGCAATTGTACATACGATATATACATGTATATCATTCAAAATATAAGAAAAATGATCGGAAACTTCTGAATACATTTTTGATTCTGGTACATTATATTATATAGGATATGTTTTGAAGGTTGCCGGTTCTAGCTGCACACACGGGTCGAAATAAGGGACCCTGAGGGACAGTACTCAAACACTTTGATTTTTGGAAGTTAGAACATCACGGCGCGTATCCATATCGGTACCGTCTTTGCGAAATCTACTGAAACTGAAACGGTCCCCTCTGAAAACAAATCGGCGACAGGCACCAATCAAATGTTCAATCTACTGATAAAATGTGGTATGTCGAGTGAAAAAAGTATAGTTTTAACTTAGTCTTTCTCAGGAATGTGTCCGTTTTTCTATTAATGCAACTACACAAGAAGCTACCCAATATCGCGATGTTTTGCCACGCCCACCGCCTGAAGCTCGGTCTAAACATGAACCGATTGTTTGATTATGTACACATCAAACATTTTAAATGTATTCATTTTTATATTATCTTCAGACAAATAACAATAAATAGTAAATAAAGTCTTTAAGAATCACAAGAAACACCTTACTTTCGGTTTCTCAGCGGCTTTGCTATTGAGTTTTCCTATCGCAGGTAACCTTTTTCTGATCTTTTTAAAAGCACTGACCGGTACCCTCCGGGCACTTTTTTTAAAAAAATGACATTATGCCATCCAAGAAATTGGTGAGAATGAAGTTAAATTTAAAATAACTTTACATTTTATCATATTTGTTTTCAGTTATGTAATAAAGGATACTTGAGTAATCAATTACCCGCGTGACCCGCATAAGTATCTATAAATATTCGTCGGAAAACAATCTGATAAAAGTAATGTTCAGTTTATTAAATAAAGCACTAATCAATTTTTCTTCATATGTTCTTGCATGGTATGTGCTCGTTGTTTGATAATTAAGTTGCATATTTTTGTGAAAAAGTATAACCTAATGCATAAATTCACATATAAGACGCCTTGCAGAATGTAAGGTCAATTTCAGGTCACTCATGTTTTATTTAGTGGAGGCAGAAAGCTGTTTACTGATAAGCCTCCAGAACAAGTTTAAAGAGAAGTTATTTATCAATAATCATACTTTATAATTGTTAAAATAAGCAATTTTTATTAGCAAAATATATCTAACATGTTTCAGACATTTGTGAATTATTTGATGTTTTTGTTTGTTGGTATATTTAAGGTTTGTTTAATGTAAACAATAAGGATATTACTTAATGGTGAATAAAATAGTTAAAGGTTAAAAAAACTAATGAAATATCAAAAATGAAATATTCTAATGAAATAATTTTCATAAAATTCGAAAATGGTAACATTATGATATTTACATCCTACGGTCGGCTCTTAACATAGAATATTTCTTTTATTGAAAAACACATGAAAACTGCATATTAAACAGAATACATTATGTTGCGGAACAAAATATTATGCTACTACTTTAAATACGTTTTTAACACAACAAAACATATTCATTTCATAAAGGCATTCTTATTCAAATTTATGGATGCTCAAATAGGCAAAACACAGAAAACACAATGTCATAACTTAGATTCCTAAATACTTATTGTGGAGAAGGGATGCATGGACAAAGGCTATAAAAAGATTGGAACAAGAAAATTAAAGCCGTGGCAACGACACAAATAATTCTTTGTATTCATTTTACGTTTTATAATGTGACCAATTGTTTTGCTTCATGATTTTTTAATGCTTCATAACATAATAAGTAACTGATGGGCCTAATAATTTCTTCATTTCACACAGTAAATTAATTGTTAGCAAAAATTGAAGTTTAGACTTTATTTTTTAACAGGCTTTTCTGCAGAAATCGAACTATTTAAATGTCTAGGTTATGCATTTCCTGTATAATTTAGATAGATGTTATACAAATATATGTATTTAAGCCAGTCTGTTGTTTTCATTTTTTCTGTATTCTGATATTTTTATTTAATATTGGTAGTTTTTAATTATAGTTTTGAAACTGAGTTTATGCCTGAGGTTAAAAATAAATTAAAGATGATTTAAAATAAATCAATGACAGTTTAGGAAAATTTGATTTGATTAATTTTTTTCTTTATCAGGTAAGCATTGTAAGGTATGTTCTTTGTACACTGTCTCTTGCTTGCCAACACTTGTAAGTTTCTCATTATAGAACTGGCTGCACATGTCCAAACACTAGTACATAATTATAATATGATGATGATGATGACTTTATTTAAAGAGGCAACATAATTTGACACATTCAGGATTTCTTTTCAGTTTCTATCAAAATGTACATATAGTATACAGTTTCAATCAAATGATTTATGTAAAGATACATATTGTTTATCTGGTACATGTATTAAAAAGATTTTTCATATATTCAGGGAGAAGAGTGTTTAGGGTCAGTTAAATACTTAAATGGCCTTTTTATAACTTACTCTCAGAGAATTTTTTAAATACAGTTTAATCAGTTTAATTCAGAAAATAACTTATCAGTGGGCCCATTGAATGCCAGTATCTGTAGCTTACTAGCCAAGATTTTTATTGTCCAATAATAATGGATCAGAAGTGTTTTGTCTGCAGAAAAGGATAGTTTATCAAAGTAAAAAACTAAATTTACAGACATAAAATATTAAGAGTAAAACCCAAAGACAAGGTCATTTTTGAGCATGTGTAGACTCTTTTCCATGAATTTAGGCTATTAGCAGACAGCTTTCTGCCTCCAGAGATAACCTGTGGTCAGTAATGATATGCAGCGTTCTATTTTTAGTAATTTTGAAAGGGGTCTATAAAATAAATTATTTTATATGGCGGACAATTTAAAAATGATTGAAGTGTAAATGAATTTCGTAAGCATGAGGTTCATCAGAAAGTACCATTATTATTTTTTTTTTATAAGAACACAATTTTTTATTCTTTCCTATAGTTACAACATCACAAAAGCCTTAAAAGTGTTTTGTTGAACGGTTTTCAACGTTATTCATACTTGCTGATGAGTGGATGTCGATGTTATCATTAAATAGAGGCGAGCGGTTGATGACGTAACTCAAATTTTGAAGACATTCAAACTTAGATACCCTTTATCTTTGAAAGAAGAGCATTTTTGAAGCTGCGATGACAAAATGTTTTTTTGTTTTTTTTTACGAATCGTATTTTTTACGAATATTTAAAAGAAATGTCGCATCTCGTCGGAAAGTGAGGTTATTCTTAATCAAAATTCACTTTAAGCTTGCAAAGGGCCAGAAATTTCTTAGCAGGCTCCTGTAGATGATTACTTTGAATCCATAACATTGATTTATTCGGATATGTTAAAAACAGATAAATAATTACCGTATGTTTTTATACCGTCATGTATATACTAGTACTTCAGTCGACGCGTTGAACGGTTATCTACAAATTTGATTGTACGGCGTGGTGTGGATCTACGTGTAAGTTACATTGTGGTAAAGTTGTAGATCTAGATTGCAATAGTTGTAGTATGTTTAAGTGCTCCTCTAAGCGAATGGGAAAGAAATGTGACAAGCTTTGTAGCTCTGTTTAAATAATACAGTAAACTCCCTTGACATTTTAAAACAGTACAGTTGAAAATGGTAAAATCCACGCTTAAAGATCCTGTAACTCATCTCTTTTTTCTTCTTTTTTTTTTGTTTTATATCATAAATATATGATCAAATGAAGATTTATCAATAATTTAAGTTCCAAAAAATCTATATTTCAACATATTTTACATTTCTTCGATGTTTGAAAATTGTTTTAGACGCATAATTAGAATCTATATACAGAAATAAAATTTCACTTAAGTGTGGGAACAACTTAAATATTACAACATAGGATCTGTCCTGCACCTGGAGATGGAAGCGTTCTTTTATATTTTGGCGCCAAAATAAAAATACCCGCTGATTTTTTTCCGCCTGCACGTGCGTGTGTCCGGCGCGGCGAGGGTGTGTGTGTGGTGGGCGGGGGGAGCAGATAATCGCTGTAAAAGGACATACATGGATACAGCTTTATCTTTAATTTTAAACGATAGTAAATCTAGACCGTTAACTGTACTGTAGACAGTCTAGATAAGATGTTAAGATATAGGCCTATTAATTAGTAAATAAAAATAACATCTTAAATAGATCTACTTGTTACTTATTTTAAATTCAATTTTATAATTATATTCCGCTTGATCTTAGAATTAAGACGTATCATTGACGTCTCTACATTTAAATAAATGTAGGGCCATGTATCCTGCAGTTACGCAAGTTGCTGAAGGTCACGCTCCGTCACGATTGTTGACGATCATTCGCGGAATGTAACCGGCAAAAATCTGATTGGTTGCTTTCACTTCGGTACAAACCGGATATAGTTCACGTCACGACAAACATGGCGGACGGTGGTGACTTTTCAGGACACGACTGCTGATATTTTATGCTAGGAGTGCAATTAATTGATTTTCTTCTATGACAGTCAGTGATTTAAGATAAGAATTCTTATTAAGATTGATTTGGATCAGAAATATTGATACTTTACGGTTTGAACATGAACGAAGAAGATGATTTGTACGAAAGTTTACCACCAACATCAACGATCAGCACGCACATGTTCGCTGGTGCATTGGCCGGGGTCGGGGAACATTGCGTTATGTACCCATTTGATTGCGTGAAGGTAAAATATTTTCTTTGAAATAAATTTAATTAGTATATCGAACTATACATCTGACCGCAAAGGTCAAACTGGAACATGTAAACGTTGATCATGTTGACTTCACATGTTCAGAAATGTTGTCAGTAAGTGAGAAACATTGGTGTGTCTATATTTTTCCATTTTCTCTTTTCAGTTATAGAGACCGGCTTTTCCTAAATTGTTTAATGACCTCGATTTTTTGTGTGATTTATTCTCTGAAACCTCAGTATTTACTAGAACCAATAGTCCAACTAATTGTAGGGGCCTACAGTTTGACAAGAAATTGTGCTATTTTCGTGTCTGGGCAATATCTCGAAACAAGATTCTGCCCCAGAACAAAAATATCTCAGAATCAAGCTTTGGCACATCAATATATTTTGACTTCTATAACGAAAAAGTTATTTTAAGTGATCACCTGGTACAACAATAACCCCAACAGTGTAACTAAACCTCACATTGTGGGACAGTGGATGAGCCATCATGAGGTAGTCCAATATATCAGACTTTACAGGCTTGTTATAGTTTATGTCAGCCAAGCCTGATAGTTATTGCTCATAAACGCATACCATCATAAAAAAATCAAAAGTGTCTTTTGTCTTGCCTTTCAAGCCTTATTCAAAAGCTTATCTTCTTTTCTTTCAATTTCATGCTCAATCATAAACCAAAACTCTCAAAAAATGTACTTACCAATTTAAATAAAATATAAACAACAATCTATTTTTGTTGATCAGCCATACTGGTTAAGTAAGGCACTTTACATATTGATTCCAAATTTTTAAACAAAAAAATATATTCGAAGACGCTGACGGTGCATGGGCAATTATTTTGTTAAAAAAATCCGTTAGAATCTTCCGATTCAGTTAAACGCTTGCATTTGAATTAGCCAATCAGATTTCGCTCACTGTACTGTATGGCGGCCATTTGTTTATCGGCTGTTTAGGATTTTAATTACAAGAGAGGATTTAATCATGATTTTTCGGATGTGACAGTTTAATTATTTTGTCAAAAGGTATTTATTTTTTAGTTTTGTTCATAAATAGGTCAAAATTAATGTAAATACACGCTGTCTTAATTGTTTTTTGGTTCAGTCTAATTTTCTGTCGGAACATGCTATGGGTTTTTGAGCAATTTCGATATGACGTTGCTTTGCCCAGAAGCAAAAATATCTCTATAAGGGACGTCATATTTATGGGACTAGGGATGAGGAAACCTAAAACTTCTGTTTTTTAACTCTTTCGTAAGTTCCACCACGTGAAGACGGTGAGAAAGGTAAATTCTGTTTCTTTCTGTACTCGAAGCCCCAGCACTGCAGAGTAGACATATTCCGGTCAATTTGGATGACCATGAGTGAAATTCTTAACATTTTTTACTGTATAAGTGTATACATTTTTTTTCTACTTTTTCAAACCACTATAATGACGAAATTTGCTAATCTGTAACCTTTACTAGGCTGTTTAAATAGTTTCGATTATACTCTCACACTACTGACATCTCACAAGACTGGGATATAAACAAAAAATGGTGTCAAATCGAGGACAGGACAGGGGCAAATCTAGAACCTGACATTTGTAGGTTGTATTAATTAGTCTATTAAATGAATTTGGAGTTGCCTTAATCTTTTCCTGCTTAATATAATTCATTTTTACTTGCAGTTCCCAGAATAATTATGCAGTGTTTTGACACTGTTTTCTTTCCTTAAATATAAATTATACTGAAAAAAAATGGCACATTCCCAAAATAAAAATCCAGAAGATTGCAGAAGTTTGTATAATCATCATGTCAGTGTTCTTGTAATTTGTTCAATGTTTGAATGACAGGACATTATAAGTCTTGACATGAATTATAATAAGGCACCCATATTGGTAAATTATCATGGAACTTCGCAACTCTACTTTTGCATTAAAAATTCCATCGCCGAAGATGAAGTATTTGTATTGTATACTGCAGTTATAATATTTTTATGCATTGTTTCGGGTACAAACATTTCATACATGTCATCTACCTATATAACTGAATCCTTGAAAACTTGTTTGAAATTTCTATGGTTGGGAATCAAACCTAAAATTTTAACTTGGTGCTTCTTTGATTAATTATTACGATAAGAGAATTATTACATATATAAAGTTAAAGTACTATTGATTCATTTGACATAAATGATAAAAATTGTCAACAAATTGAAATGTAATGACAATGCCCTGAGGCATAGCATAAAAAAACGACAACTTAAAATTGCATCCTGTCATATTAGAATTAATACAAGTGACATTCTTCAGGCTTATGTGTTAAGTTATCAATCATATTTACTGAAAGAGGTATTAGAAATTAACTCTTGACTCCAATCAAGTGTTGTATCATATTTGCTGGAAGAGGTTACAAATCATGCTCCAATAAAGCGTTGTTATTTTTTTCACCATTTAGAAAAAGGTTTGTGTCTGCCCAATTCAATGGAGAAAATACTAGTGGCTGAATTTATAATTAAGGGAGATAAATGTGGAAATAAATAACTTGCAACAACAGTGAAATTGTGCATTTTGGGAAACATAATATTTAATTAATAGGAAAAACCAGCCAAACAAAAATAAGAAAAAACACTTAGTATGAATTAAATTTTGATACATTTTACTTGGTGGAAAAGGGGCCACAGATAATTTGGATATATTATATATAGCACTTTTTCATCATAGCAGAATGTAGTTTATTGGTGTATTTAAAAAATACATTTGTACAAATACAGCCTTTGATTTAATAAAGATATAAATAATGATTAAATTTGACATAAAGGTATACCTCATTGGCTGAAAAAAATGTTGTTTTTTTTCACTATCTTATTTCTACTGAATATTTGCAAGTCTATAACTAAACAAATTACACATGCCATCTTATCTGTAAAATTTTGATCTTGATGACATTGTAAAAGTCTCATGTCGAATCCATGTGATTTGATTTATATTATCATTGTAAATTTGTTAAATATACAAATGTACTTAATGTAGTACAAAGGTCATAAAAAGGAACAAATACATCATCGCTATTGTTAACAACTAAATGTAAAGTTGTTTTTAAGATTTCAATTTTTTTGGAAAGAAAATATGATTACTTTAATAGTAGATCGGTGTATGTCCATTGGCAGATGTAAGACAATTATTATACCCCCACACAACAAAGTTGTAAGGTGGGTATACTGGAATCAGCTTGTCCGTCCGGCCGGCCGTCCGGCTGTCCGTCGGTTTTTTCTTGTCCGCCCAATAACTTAAGATTCCTTTGACCCTTAGTCTTCATATTTGGCATGGAGGTTAGTCATGATTAGTAGATGACCCCTATTGATTTTGAGGTCACTAGGTCAAAGGTCAAGGTCACAGGGGCCTTGACTTCAAAAAGCTTGTCCGCCCAATAACTTAAGATTCCTTTGACCTACAGTCGTCATATTTGGCATGGAGGTTAGTCATGATTAGTAGATGACCCCTATTGATTTTGAGGTCACTGGGTCAAAGGTCAAGGTCACAGGGGCCTTGACTTCAAAAAGTTTGTCCGCCCTATAACTTAAGATTCCTTTGACCTACAGTCGTCATATTTGGAATGGAGGTTAGTCATGATTAGTAGATGACCCCTATTGATTTTGAGGTCACCAGGTCAAAGGTCAAGGTCACAGGGGCCTTGACTTCAAAAACGCTTGTCCGCCCAATAACTTAAGATTCCTTTGACCCACAGTCTTCATATTTGACATGGAGGTTAGTCATGATCAGTAGATGACCCCTTTTGATTTTGAGGTCACCAGGTCAAAGGTCAAGGTCACAGGGGCCTTGACTTCAAAAACCTTGTCCGCCCTATAACTTAAGATTCCTTTGACCCATAGTCTTGATATTTGGCATGGAAGTTAGTCATGATTAGTAGATGACCCCTATTGATTTTGAGGTCACCAGGTCAAAGGTCAAGGTCACAGGGGCCTTGACTTCAAAAAGCTTGTCCGCCCAATAACTTAAGATTCCTTTGACCCACAGTCTTCATATTTGGCATGGAGGTTAGTCATGATTAGTAGATGACCCCTATTGATTTTGAGGTCACCAGGTCAAAGGTCAAGGTCACAGGGGCCTTGACTTCAAAAAGCTTGTCCGCCCAATAACTTAAGATTTCTTTGACCCACAGTCTTCATATTTGGAATGGAGGTTTAGTCATGATTAGTAGATGACCCCTATTGATTTTTGAGGTCAAAGGTCAAGGTCACAGGGACTTTGACTTCAAAAAGTTTGTCTGCCCAATAACTTTAGATTCCTTTGACCCACAGTCTTCATATTTGGCATGGATGTTGATCATGATAAGTAGATGACCCCTTTTGATTTTGAGGTCACTGGGTCAAAGGTCAAGGTCATAGGGACTTGGACTTCAAAAAGTTTGTCCACCCATTAACTTAAGATTCCTTTGACCCACAGTCTTCATATTTGGCATGGATGTTGATCATGACTATATATATGATCATGACCCCTATTGATTTTGAGGTCACTGGGTCAAAGGTCAAGGTCACAGGGACCTTGACAAAAAAAGCTTTTCTTCTCTATTGTTAAAGAATGTCCTGTCCGCAATGTATTGATTTTGACATTTTCACATTTGAAGCATGTAGAATACATAACTTAGCAATGCACTGGCTTAGTAACCTCAGATTTGGCAGGGAGGTTGTCCTTGAGCTCTAAATGGCCACTGTTGATTCTGACAAAGTGGTATGCGGGGGTATTCACGCCATGATAGTGGCAGTTCTAGTTTCTTTGAGCATTTGAGCAACTCCTACAGTTCTCAAGGGCTCTTAACCAAACACTCAGAGCTATTATCAAAAAGTGCCCAGTGCATATTGTCAGGTTTTTGGAATTTTGATCACTTTTTGGCAGAACCTTTGGTTTTTTCCCCTCAATTATAATATAAGTAGAAACCTTGTTTTGTGACAATGTTCTTTCATTTGATATTGAATTACTGTAATCTATTAATTTATACTTGTCAGGGTTTCCATTAGTGGAAGTTTCATTTACTCCTGATCTTGACTTCCAAAATTTAATGCTTTTCCTTCTGTACCTGTACAATGTGACTTTCAATGTCAGGAATTTTCAGTTTCTGATTTCCAAATTTTAAAACTTAGTGGAAGCCCTGACTTGTTAGAAAGTTTATGAAAATATCGAGGTATTTTCACTTTTCAAAAAAAACCTACAACATGTATAAATCTGTAGTCCCCTGGCATCGATTGAAACTATCAGTGAGCACAGAGCAGACATAGAGCAGCTGGCGCATTTGTACTTTCTGATCATACTCACATAGTCTGTATTGTTAGTAAGTCAGTCAGTAAATGTTTCAAAATTTTACCTTTAAAGTGGTGAGTAGTTCTGTCGAAATTGAAAAAAAAGGCATGTCCATTCAAGATAGTTAGCATAGTAAGGGTAAAACAGTTGCACTAAATATACCTAATTTTCAAATATCATTTTATGTTTTCTGATAAAGTAAACAATTGATATCTTGACTTAACTAGCATATTAAACATATTTTGCAGACACGTATGCAGAGCCTCGTTCCTGACCCAAAAGCCAACTATCGAGGAGTAGCTGATGCACTAGTTACAATATTTCGTCATGAAGGTATTGGAAACACGGTGCGAGGAATCGGTGCAGTGGTCGGCGGTGCTGGACCTGCACATGCCTTGTATTTTGCCTGCTATGAACATTTAAAGAAAAAATTTAGTGGTGGCGAACAAGGAAACCATCTTGCTCATGGTATTAAACTTATTCTATTCTCAGTCGCAGACTTGGTTTTAAGTAATTACAATGTATTTAAACAATGATTCATCTGTTGTGATTGACTTAAAGGAGGATGTTAGTGTTAAGGGAAGTGGTTGCCATGTAACTGTTTCTGCACCAAAACAACTGTTTACTCACACCAAAGAAATCCTTAAAAATTACTAAAAAAGGTCTTAACTGCTGGCTACTTAAGATTTTCATTGGCAGGGAACACTGCTAGTCTGATAAGGAGCTGTTCTTTATTAAAGACCAGACATGTCCTTGTTACAAATTTTTCACTGGGTAAGGCTCCAGCTTTATCTTTCTGAGATGACAGTGATTAACCTTTGCCAACAGTATTGAGCCAGGCCATCTGTATACAGTTGGCTGTCTTAAACTTCAAATTTTCTTCTTGATACCCTAAATTTGATAGTGGACCAGTGGTTTTTCTCACTTAATTGGGAAAAGGCCTTAGCCTCTTAATTTTAGGGGGAAAACTATCGCTTAAACAGGCCTTTTATATGGTAGGCCACTGTTATGTTAGGAGGAAAATCATTGTTGACAATTCCAAATATGGAAGCTGAAAAAGTAATTTGTAATTATTTAGCAGGGTTGATTAATAAAAATGAAACTGTATTACAGGTGCAGCTGGTTGTGTGGCCACAGTATTACATGATTTATTTATGAATCCAGCTGATGGTGAGTATATTCTCTATACCATAAATGTATACATCCAATCGTTGCTTTTGCATTGTATCACATGATTGTCAAAATTTATTTTCCGTATTGTACACTATAGTATCCAGTATATTTTATATTGGACAGTTCAATTTGTATGACCTTTAATGGGTACCATCAAGGATTAAGGCAGTAAGTGACAAATTATTAGAACGATACCGTAAACAGGCATTAGTGTTTCTTCAGGAAGCAAAATCAAGTGATTGTTTCTGATTAGACTACTATGTAGACACATTTAGCATTTCCTCAGTATAATTTGGTTATCAGATAACAAGGTGCTAAATATGAGCTATTATGACCGGGCTGTGATCCTGTGTTGTACGCCATCAACTTTTGTTTAAACATCTCAACTACTTGACCAGTGTTGATAAAACTAAACAGGATTGTTCTTGGCATAAAGGTTTTTCAAAATTATTAAAAAAATTCCATGCTGAACTCTGCTTGCAATTGCAGAGCAACAGATAATGCGCGTATTTGTGTATTTACGCAATAAATTTTATAAAATACGCAATTGATTTTTTAAGAATGCGTATCAAAACCCATTAAAAAAATTAAAATACGCAATTGTCTTAAAAACCCGTGCGTATTGTCATTTTCATCACCGCAAAATTAATCTGTCGTACACTCGTAGTTTTTGACAAATTATATCGATATGCATGATATCCGAATATTCCCGAATCAATGCCAACTAATTAACGGCTCCGGTCTTCGACGGTCCCCGGTCTCCAAAGACCGACTAAGCATGAGACCGTCGATTTGTCTACTCAGGTTGACGGTCTTTACAGAACGGCAGAGACCGTTGATTTTGCGGAGACCGTCAAAAAATAGGTCCCAGCTGTAACAATAGATGCTTTGAAAAGCAATATGGCGTCGTACAAAAGGGAAAATGATTTGAAACAAAACAGTCGCAAATAATTAAAAATCAGTCAGGCAACGAACTTGTGAAAAATATTATGAAAGATAACAGGAGCATTTTATATAAAAATAAAACAATTGTGAAAAGTTCTAGTAAATTGTTCATCCTATTTTCTTTTTAAAACAGTTAAGATATCAAAATTTAATTTTATTGATATTGAAACCATAAAATACATATCTTCATAATTGAATACCCAATTGATCTTGAAATCATAGGGTATCGAGTTTTTGAATACCCAATTAAATGGAGCCAATACCCAATTCCAAAGGAAATGATGGAGTAATACCCAATTCACCTTTAAAGCTTATCTGTTGCTCTGAATTGACAAACCTAAAAATCTTCTTTTCATAAATTGCAAAGGCTAGAGCTTAGATATTTAGTATATTACACTGTCTAGTGGTTCTCTATGTTTCTGCAGAAGATTACTGGAAAGAATAGATCTGTAATAAAATCAAACAGTTAATACTTTTATACATAAAAAACCCTTATTATTAATAATTTTAACAACTTGACCCAAAAATATGGTTTACAAGACAAAAACCCACTAACATTTTACTTTATTTCATGTATTTGTTTATTTTACTTTTCATATGTTCCCGTTCCATGATGTTAACTTGGATGCTGACTTCATATTGCAATTTTCTCACTTTTCGCCGCATTTCACTCTGGATTGAATTGCGTGACAATGTTCACGGAAATCAGTGATAAAACAACGTATGCAAATGTATGGGAGCCCATATAGAACTTGTAAAGAATGTGGTGTATCCATACTAAAGACAGAAGGACCTATTGCATTTTATAGGAGCTTCACGACGCAACTAAGCATGAACGTACCTTTCCAAGCTGTTCATTTTATGACTTACGAGATAACACAAGACTTCCTTAACCCAACTCGGAAGTATGATCCTTTGACACACGGTGTGTCTGGTGCCGTGGCGGGTGCCGGCGCCGCAGTTGCTACTATGCCTTTAGATGTTTGTAAAACCTTACTGAACACGCAAGAGCACTGTTCAAGAACTAACAGTATATCTTATGTGAACGGCATGCGGGCAGCCTTTCGAACAGTTTACGAATTCCAAGGTGTACGTGGATACTTTCGGGGCATTACTGCGCGTATTTTCTTCCAAATGCCAGCCACAGCTATCTCATGGTCGATATACGAGTTCTTTAAGTTCTTTTTACATAAAAATGATGACGACAATTCGCATTACCTCAAAGTATCGTCCTTGCAGGCCTCTTCATCCAAATGATAAAATAAATCCTAGCATAATGAATGAGGCATTTTAATACTAGTTCCAAAGGCATTTAAGTGTTCTAATACTTCTAATAGCAATGTGAGATGGTAAAGATCTATCTAAAAGCAATGTGGCATGAATAAAAATGGAAAAGTCTTAAAAATGGCCAAGTTATATCACTAAGAAATGTTTCGTTTTCTTTAGAAATTATTTTGCTATAGTTAATATGGTATTAGTTCAATTATTCAATTTATTTATTTTTTTCAAGGAAAATAAATTAAGTATGTGAAGGTTGTTTATTGCACTTCCCTAGTCCATTTATAAATTATTTTATACATAGAGTTGAAAAAAGGAAGATAAAAATATTAAGTACATATCTATCTTAAATTCAAGAAGTTATTATCAAAGAAGGAATTAATTCAAGAAGGATTGAAGTGCTTTTGAAGAAGTTAAAGTATGTATAAATTGTTTGTCGGCCAGAGGACTGCTACAAACAATGCCATAGATCTGTGTCTCCAGTATGCATGAAATGTGTGAAATCCGTGTCAGTAGAGGACTGCTGCATGGTCTATTTATAGCTCAAGTGTTGCTTGTGATGGCTAAATGTGTGCTTGAATGTGAGCAAGTTTTAAATTTCAGTACAAATGTCAAAGTTCTGTGATATAGTGATATGAAAAATGTAAAAAAGTATGTGGTAAAAAAAGTAAACTTACGATTTAGAAGAAAAAAAGAAGCAAAAGTAAAAAAAAAAAAAATTTTAATCAGTTAATTCTTGATAAAATATGAAACCTCTAAAATCAGTGTGCCAACCGTTGATGAAAATTGAAAAGTTCACCAAGTTCCTGACTTGGGTAAAATGTGGTTAATGATTACTGGTAAATATTTCGGAATTCCTTCCATTATATTGTAGAAAGATAATGCATGAAAAAGGAAATGAAAAAAATAAAACAAAAAAAGCATCAGAAAACAAAACCAGTCGAGGGACGTACAGAAGAAAAGTCAACAGAAATTCCAAATATCAGAATGTGTTAACAAAAATTTAAATCAAATATGTGTGCGTGTTTTAAAAGCTAAGCTTTTTAGGAAATTCAAGAGGAAATGTGAATGTGTTGAGTTATAACCCTTGTTTTTCTGTGTTCAAAGTTTTATTCATGTAGTGAAGTTTTTTACTACATGGTTTACCACTTTATTTTTTAATATTGAAATATATATACATGTATAAATATCTGCCGTTATGTCAGATAGAAGACTTCTACATTGCGGTAACATTTAAATGTTGAATTCATACTTAATACGTTATTGAAAGCCAGAATGGTTTATCAGCATTATTTTAGTTGTTAACCCTGATAAGCCATTGTGGCTTGCAGTAATTTAATTAATCATGTATGTAAGTTGTAGTGATTGCTAAACATCAGTAGCTTCATCACTTATCACTTTGTTGTTATTTTTTTTTTTAATTTCTTTTTTTTAATGCTTGGCTTATGTAAATCGACCCTTACCATGCTTAATTTGCGTATAAAATGGACTTGTCTGACTTGAACTTGGACCATTCTACTGTTCATGTGAGGGATCACCGATGCCAAACTGCCAAATATCGGAATGCTTGATTTAAGTCAAACTGCTACACAATGTATCTGTATAATAGTTTGACAAACTGCCCCTGTTTCAATGCTGCCCAAGTTTTTTTGTGTTTTTTTTGGCAGGTGGGGGAAGGCCATTCATTTTCTTTAGGGAAAAATTATGAGATATTTTTGTGATAGGGGGAGAAAAAAAAATGTATATCGAATATTAAAGTTTAGAAGAAAACTGTAGGATTTTAAATTTATAATTTCCTTGTCAACAGTACACATTCTGGTCATATTGCACGGAAGTTTAAGCATAGTCTTGTCTGGTTCTATATTTGTTGCGTAGGTCTTGTTGTAACTGGAAATTACATATATGTCATAATATGCATTTACTTAATAAAACTTAGTAAACAAGGTAACACATTAGCAGTGTTCCATTACGTAACTTTTTCTGGTCATTTAAGTTATTTTCCCCAAGAAAAAGGCTGAGAACCCTTCCCGAAAAATGGTGTTTTGGCCCTGGAATTACATACATGTATATATAGGTAATCAATATAATTATGTCAAGATAAATAAACATGGAAATCTTTTTATGTCGTCTTTTAGGCATTAATTATAATACTACGGCATTATCTTGTCACTGCCGATTTAATGTTTTAATGTCAATTTGAGACATTTATAGCTACAACTTCTATGACATTTTTTAATCCACAACTTTCTTTGAGTGTAAAACGTCAATATTTTAAGGAAGGCATTATTTTGGTAGGAAATCAAATAGTCCATGTAGGTTTTATGTCCTATATATAATTATATTACATATACATACATCATTTACATACATCACATGTTAGTCACTCTGTGTGATTTGAACTAAATTTCTCGCAAAGGTTATAGAAATACAAATATTGACCCTCGATAAAAAAAGTAATGTTAAAATATTCTTGATATATCTGAGTATTTATTTAATAAGAGATAAAATTTGCATAATTTTACTGTCAAATACAATGTATATTGTGGATATATGATAAATATATTTGATCATTTGTGATCATTGATTTAGTTTGTGGTCAGGTTAAACTAACATCTAGTAAAGTTTTATCTCTCTATTTCTTGTAATTAAATAAGTTTATCTCCTTGATTGAACTTGATTATATATATGCTGATAATTTTAATGTTATCGTGTACATAAATACTAGCTAAAAATTCTATCATTATTGATATTGAAAACTTAATTTTACCTATCGAAAACTTAATTTTTCCTCCAGTGTAATTTCTCACTTAATTAGGAAGAAGCCTTATTAATAAGAGCCTTTTGAATTTGGGAAAAATTATTGCTAAAATTTACAATTTGGGAAGTAAAAAAGTTGGTGTAAGTTCAGATTTTTTGGAAAAACTGAATAATTTCAAAGAAAAATTTAATTGGGCAGAGGCACTTTATAGGCCTCAGTTATATAAGGTGAAAAATCCCTGACCTCATATTAGTTTATTTCGCATAATATATAATACATCAATGTGATTTTTGAGCTTGTCTGTGTACAGAAAATACACAATAAACAGTCACCTTCCAGATAATTTTAGGAAAAAACCTTGAATTCCTTTAAAGAGCCAGGCCTGTCATGCACAGCCTAGTCGTGCAGTTATACCAATCTCTATAACAGTAGGCTACTTAACTCGGGAACCCCTCACCCCACCCCTAAATGTTCCACAAACAGAAGTTGAACAAGTCTATATACTGGAAATTCAGCAGGTCAAGGGTTGATAAGAAAGCAAGTTTTTTGTGTTTTTTTTTTTTTGTTTTTTTTTTGAAGCCTGGAGAATGTACCATGCTGTCTTGAAAAAACCCTCTTTACATTATATGTTTGATACTATATTGCCGTCATTTTGTCACCTTAGGGCAGTAACAAGTTGACTCCTTATATAATTTAATAGGAGTTAACTTGTTAAATACTGTACTAAGGTGATGACTTTTGATTACTTTTGATGGCATTAATTGAAATACTAAGACAGAATATTAAAAATTTTATTGCAAGTAACTTGTATTCTTTTTGTCTGGAGAAAAACAACTGAACTGTATCATAATAATGTAACCACTTTTGAAATATATGCATCACAATTTAGAAAAAAAATAATTTTTTCCGGCTTTTGGAATGTCGCCTAGTCCATATGTAACCCCTAAGTAACTTTCTGTCATATTTTTACACATCAGTTCAAAAACGAATACCACGATAATATTATCAACTAAATTTAATCAAAATATATATTTGTACTCTTTGATTTAGTTTTGAGGAAAAGTTATTTTGTTTTCTTTAAATTAGTCTGTCATTTTACATTTCGTCGCCTGTGTTTTTCTTTATGATTGTCTTGACGCATGTGTCTCATGGTTTGATGGGAAATTATTATTATTCATATATTTTACCATCTGTCGATTAATCTATGTAGATACAGAAGTATTTCATGGATTTCTAGACTTTTTATCTATTTTTTCTTTTCCATGCAATACGATATACAGTATAGTGCAATATATATTCGGACAAAATGGCGGCGCGCTGAAAAAATAACGGAGGCGAAGGAAAATTTTACGATAAATATTACGGTTAATTTTTACTATATATTATTGTAACTTACCTAGTACTTGGATAGATGACCTTTCAGTCGAATTACACTCAATAATCGTCTAGGGATTGACCGGTAGAGGGTTTGAATGTATGCCGGAGTAATATCTGTCCATATACACTAATTTCCCGGAAAAGATCTTCTCTACTTTCTATTCGGCCTACTCGTCCCTGGAGTTTTCTTTTTATCAGAAGCCACAGATTCTCTATAATATTGATATCTGGGCTCTGTGCTGGCCAACTCATTCTTGGTATTCCATTCCTATGAAGGAATTCCTGGGTTGAACGGGCGCTGTGGACTGGGGCATTATCGTCTTGAAAAATAAAGCCCCCAGTTGAAAAATGACGTGCGATAACTGGCCACAAGTTGTCGTCGAGGATAGACTGATATTTTTCAGCATTTATATTGCCATCTACGGCTGTTAAAGTTCCAACCCCGTACCAAGTAATGCACCCCCATATCATTAGTTCGAAGCATGGCTTGACGCGTCGAGAACCGGCCAGGTCTGGTCTCCACCCCTCGCCTCTTTTTCTCCAGATATATATCCGAGAATCTTTCCCAACAACAATTTTTGACTCATCAGAGAATATTACTTTCTTCCAATGACCTTCAACAGTAAGTTTCCTCTTTTCTCGACACCATGACAACCGTTTACTGCGATTTACCTCCCGGATAGTCAGTTTCTTCCTTGCTACTCGTCGCCTAAATCCATGCTTATGTAAATGAAATTGTAATGTCCTTTTAGCTAGTGGCCTGTCTCTGTTTTCATTAAATTTAGTCGTTATATCTTGTAAACTGTCTCCTATTACTTTTTACTAACCTTTCCAACCTCCTATACTCCCTTGCTGTCACAGTTGGTTTTCTACCACTTCTTGGAATATTTTCTATAGAATCTCTCTGCTCAGTTCGCTTCTTTAAACTTCCAACCGTCGATCTAGGCACATTTAAAGTATTTGATACAAAATCAATTGTTTTACCTTCTTCAAATAATTTTTTAGCAATTTTTTTTACCTCCGGCGTTAATTCTTTTCCCTTTCGCCCCATGTTTAATTTTCGTTCTTTAGATTTACTTAAACGCAGCAGACGAATCAAATTACATGATGTAAGAAACGTCACATTTCTTAGTATTCTAAAAATAACCTACAAAAACCCCGTTTCTATTTATAACTCGATTTACCGAGTACACATTTGACCCATTTGATGACAACGCTGTGACGCGACGCCATTTTGTCCGAATATATATTGCACTATACTGTAAACAGGTTTCTATTAACTTGATAATTTAAAGTCATTTTTGGTGTTAGTTGAAGTTTTTTCTACTGGGGTTTACAAGAGTATGCCAGAGTACTGACGGATTTTTTTAATCTTTAGATATTGAATTTCAAGAATATTGTAATTTGATAATATTTTAATTGTCTGAAAATAATTTGTGTAAAAGGAACAACATAAGTATGTAGATCTATGTATATAGAAATGTTTATACCATCAGCATTACAGTAAAACTAAGGGCAAAATTATTTAGTCAATAACATTCATGGCTCCTAGTTTATTATATGATAGT